ATTTCTAACCCTANGAGCAATTGTAGTGCATGATATGGAATTCTAATGATACTAGGAGATTTCTAACCCTAAAATTAGTCTAGTAGCATACCTTTAATTGTTCAAAGTAGCTTCTTCCACAAATCCAAAATTTCAAATTTGAATTTCTCTGTCTAGCTCCTCTCTTCTCCCTCTCTCCTCTCTTGGCGGTTCTCCCTTATCCAGAAACTTGTTGAAGTCTTAAGCATCTCCTCCACTACTCTAGAAACTTGGAGAAGGCGGGGGAGAGCTCTTGCGCTGCTAGGCAATAGCTTGGGAAGAAATGTCATGTAATGGCATTTTCGTAAATAACTCAATTTTTTTTTACTTTAATTCTAATTTTTTTTATAATTATATACCTATTTAAAACATGCACTATATAAAAAAATATTTTTCTATTTTTTTTTCGTACACATGCATGCTTGGGTTTTACAATGAGAGTCTTCCATCGGTGTAAACCCTACCCCTGAAATATTTTTCCATAAGGGTGAGCCACGCTCAAAAGGGTATCTCCTAAATAGGCTACTCCTCAACCTAAATGCATATAAAATGTTTACATGCACAATTCAACAAGCAACAATATTTCAGTCAAGAATATGCAATTCAATGTTCAAAATCACCATATCATGTCATGATATGAGATAAGACTCACTCATGTACTTCAACCCCAGCCTTCACCAGCTCTCTCAACACATGCAAATGTCATCCGTATGATCTCCAGGTATTCCAAGTCTCTGCCATTAATGTTACACATCTAATGACTATTTAAAATCTCTGGGTCTTTCTTGGGGTGGGTATTTATAGACTTTCACCAATGGACACCCAACCGACATGAAATTCAAGAACTTCCACCAACGGTTCTGCGTACACCGACACACTTTATGGACTAAACCAAGGGAATGCGTATCCTAATCATCGGGTCTTGCACCCGATGGAAAGTCTAGCCCTTCTTACTAACCCCGACCCTATTTTCATTGCAAACTATACGACTCAGTCGAACCTCGGTCCAACTATCCTGAGCCCACGTATCATCCACCAAGAATGGTGTTTGATCAAACCATGTACACACACCCACACTCATGTCAAACACCCATGAATTCGATGTCTCCGTGCATATGCAATGTAATGTGCAATTCCTATACAATTTTATGTTCAATATGTTATGAGTGTCATGTGAACCAATTCAACCACTTTTTCACATATTTCATGGTCAATTATATCATGTGCATATAATTACCATAAATCATCTTAATGTCAATATATCACCAAGCATATATCAATAATATACCCAACAACAATTTCCAAGCATGTTATCACATAATCATATAAATAACACAGTTAACTCACAAAAGTATAATATAAACATATAGCATGTCCACATAACACCATTTTTCAAGAAATTAAAAGCTAGTAATTTCTATACACCAATTCAACCTAGAATTGATTTTTACCCATTTTCAATATACATTTCATCAATTTAACAACAATAGGCAAGTGTTATACATCTCTAACAACCTATCCATTCCATATCACAACTCTATGATATAAATAAACCTAGTTAGGGAGAGAACCCTACCTCTTAAAGCGTAAAACAACGGTAAGAAGCTTCATGAATCTCAAATCACGTCTAAACCGTTGATTTCTCCAAGTCCCATTTTTGAAACTTCGCCCAAATTCGTGCTTTTTTGGTATGGTTGCGTAACCCTCAATGAGAATGACAACTTTTGTTATTGGCTTGAGTCGAATCGAGCAACATAGAGACGTAGATCGTAGAGAGAAAGTGTGAAACCCTTGCTCTTTTTCTCTCTTCTTACTTTCTCTTTTTTAACAAGTAAAAGGCTGAGAATTGGGGAAGAAAATCAGATTTTCTTCTCCTTTTATGGTCTTTAAATACTTGGGTCTCATTCTGCCACACGTTTTCCTTTCCTAGGTCTGTTTTTGACCCGAATTAATTAAATTTCGTCCTGGTTTAAGTTCAAAATATTTTTACATGGACTAATTTTAAATTATTATCCAATTTTTAAAATTTAATTCCTGGGTTCGTTTATGTGGTCACCCGACACCCAGTCGCCTCATAAAATGTAAAAAATTTGATTATATCAAAATTCGATGAAAATTCACATGGTAGCTAGATTTCGCGAGAAGAATTCAACGCTGAGGTTCGTTTCATCATCTGAGTTCTAGAAAAATTAAGGTTTTTAACCCATATTGTAATGACAAATTACCGTTTTACCCTTTTTCATAAAAAAATTCAAATTTATCTGGATTTTACAGAGAATGGTGTCGAGGAATGTTTTAGATAAAAAAGAGATAGGGAAAGTGAAAGAGAATGAGAATGAGGGAGGCAGAAGATTAGTGTAAGGAATGGGGAGATTGAAAGTGTGACAGAGGGATAGGGGAAGGGAATTTTGGTAGGGTTGAGAGAGGGCAGAGTTTGGCAGAGAAAAAAGACGGGGAGAGAGTTACTTGAGAATGGGAGAAAAAGCTAAGTGATTGTGGTCATTAGGAGTTGTTGGTGATGTTTGGGCAGCTACAGTGGATTGGCAAAGGTGGTGCCTACTAGAGAAGAAAGCTGGTAGATGGAGGGAGGAGAAAGAGAAGAATGAGATTAGGGCATAATAAATTTGGGGATCTTTGAATTTGGGGAGAGAGTAAATGTGGCATTAGGGCATGAGAAGGGTCAGAAAGGAGTAAATATTTAGTAAATGCACGATACGCCATAAAAGTATGAAAGTTGGACCTAATTATGAGGGAATTCAAAAATTAAAAATTTTTGGCAGGATAATCAAAAGTTAATTTGGTGTGTTGAATCAAAAATTTTGAGATGATTTGAGACGTGAGGAGCTCTAGACAGTTTAGGATAGTGTCGTCTGTTAGTTGAGAAACTTTTTGTTTTGTCATCAGCCGCCTCGAGATGAGGGCTCACAGTTGCTTTTGCTTCAAGCCATCAAGAAATTCTGCTAAAAGTCGAAGAAAAATACAACGATGAAAAGTGGAGTGAACGAAAGAAAATGAAATAAAATATATTTTTGTGCATACATATGGTTAGCATAAAAACCTTGCAAGAAAATTTTTTTAAAAATTCATTCTATTGTTTCAAAAAAAAGGAAAGATTTTTTAATTGTCTAAATTATCTTTAAATATATTAAATTGGTCTAGAGAAGAAAAAAAATATGTATTATAATTAAAAATTAAATTTTTTTTCAAAATGTTACTCCTAGTATAATTTGGACAACCATCAACACAAAGGTCTCTAAGTCAAATATAATGGTTAACTAAATTCATACCAAAATTTTTTTAAAATTAATAACCAATAAAATATTTTAAAAAAAATAAGAGTAAAATAAGAAATTAGTTATACATCACAATTTTCTTATATTTTCTTTTGTTTTTTATAAGAAAAAAAGTTGATTAGTTATGAGGAAATGTAAACACGGAAGAAAATTATTTTTTTCTATTATTTTATATTTCATGCTTATCAAACATAAAAATTTAAAAAAAAAAAATTTCTTACATTTTTTACAATAATCCTACTTAACAAACAAACTCGAAGTTATATGCACTAAAGAGAGCAGCGTATATATTGAATGCAATGCTTAAGTGGTTTCACCAATCAATAACAGACAAAAGGGTAACTCCAATTTTTTTTTCCTTAAAGCCTTAAAAACAATGAAAATTTATTTGGTTAAAGCTTTTGTTTTCAATCTTTTTGGAAAAAAGTGAGAATTAGAGCAAAAAAAATAGAAAACAAACCACACTTGTTTTCAAACTTTTATACCAAAAATTTTTAAAACACAAAGAACAAAACTCTTTAATGAGGTCTGTTTTTCAAGTCTCTTTAACAACAAATCTAGTCATAGTATATATAAGCTTCCTTTTTTTTTTTCTCTTTTCTCTCTCTATCTTTTCACTTTGCCCATCAAACAAAACAAACAGACACCAAGCTAGTCTTCTCTAGCTCTTTCTCTCCACTTTGCCTCTTAGATGGAACGAACACACACACACACACACACACAAAGAGAGCTCATTTTCTCTAGCATCTTCTTCTTCACCACAAGCAAAAACTTCAAATCTATTCTCTCTTTCGCAACAATTGAAACTTCAAATCTAAGCATAAATATATATATATACACAGATCTGTGTGCGTCTATGCATGTGTTTGCATGTATATACATCAATATGTATGTGTGTATGTCTCTATATATGTGTTTTTGTATATGCATCTACATGTGCATGTGTCAATGTGTGTGCGTGTGAATATATTTTTTGGAGATAAAGAAAGAAGAAAGAGCAAGATGAGAATTATAAATTATTATTCAAACAAATTTTATAATTTTTATTCTTTAAAACTATTTTCAAAAATATATAATCAAACAACTTTTCCAATCTAATAAATTTTTAAAATTCTTTCCAAAAATAATTTTTAAATACAAACTAAACATGTCCTAGCTCTCCCATTAACTTAATTGTCTTCAAACCTTCATCAACATTTCGTATTATTAACTTCGAGAGCTGCAGATCAGACTACCCAAACATACATACAGAGAGAAAACCAGTAAATAAGCGAGGGTAGAGGAAAACCTAAGGCTATTGATGCTACTTATACTGCAATTTCAAAATTCCAAAATCGCCCTGCAAAATTATATAAACCAAATTACCAAGTTAAACTCAATCCTAAATTAGAATACCAGATAATCTCACACCCCCATTTGATAAACGATGAAAACACTGAAAAGAGATTGCCATTTACACAGTAGTAGAAACACATTTGAAGGAGGGCTTGGAAGCATGAGATTCTACAATTAGAGACCAAATATCAGACAAATTCATTAAAAACTAACTGACAAACAACCCCCGAAGGATTGTAATACATTTAATAAACTGAAATTAGATCCTAAAACACCAGTACTACCTAACCTTACCCCCCCCCCCTCCAAATTTACCAATTCAAAACCCCCAAACAAACAATAACACAATCAAAATCAACCACCGAACCCATACAGAGTCCTTCCCTGCCTCTTGAGAGCATAGACCACATCCATGGCAGTCACCGTCTTCCTCCTAGCGTGTTCTGTATAGGTAACAGCATCGCGAATCACATTCTCAAGAAAGATCTTGAGAACACCGCGAGTCTCCTCGTAGATAAGCCCACTGATACGCTTCACTCCACCTCTACGAGCCAGACGACGAATCGCTGGCTTTGTGATGCCTTGAATGTTGTCGCGAAGGACCTTCCTGTGACGCTTCGCTCCTCCCTTTCCCAAGCCTTTGCCACCCTTCCCGCGTCCAGACATTTTCCGATGATTGAGAAGATGAAATGAACACGAATTCAAAGGAATTGAAATTAAAAGAGAAGCGCAATTGATTTGGAGGAAGTTAAAAGGTGACAGTGGGTTTATATAGGAAATGATTCGGATATAAAGGAGGATGGGGACCGTTGGATTTGGAGTGCAGATCGACAGTTGAGAATGGCGATCCGCGTCATTAGGTTTAGGTGGTTCTGAGCCGTTTACAAGGGTTGAATCGACGGTGGGGAATGACAGTAGTTTGATGACACGGATTGTGCTTTTTCGGCTGCAACGCTTGTCGAATATTCCTATATAGTCGTCTGCTATGAATCTGAATCTATAGTGGTTGTTCCTTGTTTGTCCTCCTGCACCTGCTAGGCCCGGGTTACTTGGGCCGATCCACGTGTGTTGAATTTGAACCCCGGGTAGGATGTTAATCGAAGGGAAAATTAAAAGGAGGCATACCCAATTAGATTTAATTGTAAAAAAAAATATATAGAAAAAACGTTGGGTAATTAAGTTCTTAATTTTGATACTTATTTGTATCTAAGTACATTATTTAAATTTTACTGATTTTTTTGTGATATTTTTGCCCTTCATTAATCTATGTGTATTTAATGCACCACTTTAAAATGGTGCATTAAACATCTCTTATTTTTATGGGAGAACTTGAATACATATTTATATATATATATATATATGATTGACACTATTCTTCTGAGACTATAGTCTTCAGCCAATGTTTATAGTGTCAATTATAATGTCAGTCATTAATTTCAAGGATAAGATGGAACTTTAAACTTATTTTTAAAGATTCTTTTTGTTGTCTTGCAATTCTTAAGAAAAAGATAGGTATATGATTAATTAATTGATCTTTCATAGCATTGCAATAGAGACACCAAAGTAAAACTTTGCAATTATTAGTATTCCATGTGGAGAAAAAGCTATAAACATTTTCTCCTCCATAATCACAAAAGCAGTCAAGAAGTTCAAGTGATTTGGCAATAAGATCCAAAGAGAATGAATCTGAGTTATGACTGATTTCTGTAACTTCTTGGACTTTTTCTGCAAAATAAAAATCACTTTTTAATATGTTAGAAGAGGATGGAAAATTTAATTGATTTTCTTTATAAATCAATTTTTTTTTTATTTGATTTGTCAGTCTCACTTGAGAAGAAGTATTAACAGGTCGATATATACCATGTGGTATATTAATGTTTTGGAAATTTTCCAACATAAATGGGAAACACTTGATGGAAAAATTATAAACAGTTTTTATTCTCTAACTACTAAACCAATAAAAATACCCTTAAATAATTCTGAAGAAATTCATATAAACGCTTGTTATACGGGCAACACTATAGGTCAACATCTCACTAAAATTGAGAATTTAATATATTCACACCAAACTTCAACTTTACAGTCCCGTAAGGATAAGGAAGTTGAACAAGTCAATATAAAACCATCAGTTGACATTTCCACATTCAATTTGCATAATAAAGTGGAAGATGAGTTCATAAATGCACTCAAAAATAAATTGAAAGGCTTGACATTAAATGTCAACTCTAAAACCCAAGATGAAGAGCAATCTTAAACTGAAATCCAACAATATGAAGATTCTTTACACCAAATACAATATAAAGAAATAAATAAAATTAGATTTTTTAAACCAAAATCTCAAGCTAATATTTATGCACAAGCTCATCCCATGAGGGCTTATTATCAGAGGACAACACCTCAAAATATTATATATGAAGAAAACTTGTTTATTGATCAACAAGGATATGATGCTTCCTCCATTTATGAATGGAATATTGATGGTATGTCTAAATATGTCATTCATCAAGTTTTACATAAAATTTTAATGTATGCTTCAATATGTAAAGCTAATCGAAATTCTGATCATGCTACTACTAAATTTATCACCACCAGGTTTACAGGCTAACTAAGAGGATGGTGGAATAACTATTTAAGTCAAGTTCAACAAAATGAAAGTTTAAATGCAGTCAAGGTAACACCAGCAAAAAGTGAAACTATAATTACTCAAGAAGATGTTGTATATACCTTGGTTCAATCTATCTTAAAACACTTTGTTGGATCCAATTTTTAAAATTTGGATAAAAACAAAGAACTTTTAATGAATTTAAGATGTCTCACCTTAACACATTTCAGGTGGTATAAAGATGTGTTTTTGGCTAAAGTTTTGCTAAAATCATATGTTAATAATGAATTTTGGAAAGAAAAATTTATATTAGGATTGCCCAATTTATTTGCTGAAAAAATAAGAATTCGCTTAAAGCAAAAACATGGAGGATTTAAAATCCCTTATGAAAATTATACTTATGGGGAACTAATTTCTGAAGGTATTTCGGAAGGTTTAGCTCTCTGTAATGATTTAAATCTTAAAACTCAACTTAAGAGACAAAGATTAACTGGTAGAAAAGAACTTGGAAAATTTTATAATCAATTTACTTATAATCTTGATATCCCAAAAGATAAGGTTTCTAAAAAACCTTATGCTAAGCCTTATAAATAAGGTAGAAAATTCTATAAAAAAAAGCTATACTAAGGAACAACTCACTAAAAGAGTGAAAGAAAAGGACAAGAAACATTTTCTTAAATGTTTTAAGTACGGAAAGGAAGGTCATATTGTTTCCAAATGTTTAATTAAATAACATATAAATGAATTAATTAATGATGAAGACCTTAAAGAAAAAATCTTTTTAAACTCAGAAAATGAGATTGAAGATAATTTTGAAGACTACAATATTAATGAAATTATTGATTCTTCTTCAGAAATCGGTTCTTTAGGACAGGATAAACCTTGTTCTTCACACTGTAAAGCTGAAAATAATTATTATAAAGATATTCTAACTATGAATGGATTAAGTATAAATAGTTTGACTAAGTCACAAATTTTTATTCTTGATCTTATAGATAAAATTCAAGATCCACTTTCTAAAAGAAAAGCTATTGAACAATATTTAGAGATAAATCTAGATGAAAAAAGACCTAATCTGTCTCAACCATATTCATTAAAGGAAGTCCTTAATAGAAATGAAAAGGACATGAGTAATAGTCCACTCCATATAAAGGAAGCTTTGCCTATTACAATTCAAAATATAGAGATAGAAATCAATGAAGTCAAAGAAGACATAAAAGTCTTAAAGTCTAGATTATTAGCTTTAGAAAAACTCCGATCTAAAGAAAGTGACATACATGATGATATAGCATCACCATCACTATCTAACTTTGATGATAAAACATCACCAAATGAAAATATAAATGTTTTAGAAAAAATAACTTATCATAAATTGTATATGAAAATTATTTTAGTTATAAATTCTGAATTTACTGTCGAAACTATTGTTTTAATTGACAGTGGAGCAGATATGAACTGCATAAAGACATGATTAATTTTGACAAAATATTTTGAAAAAACTACTCAGTCAGTAAGTGTTGCTGATGGATCAAAATTAAATATTAATTTTAAACTTTCTAATATTTTGGTTTGTAATCAAGGAATTTGTATTCCTACTACTTTTATGCTCATTGATAATTTAAATCAATTGGTGATTTTAGGAATACCATTTTTATCCTTAATCGAACCTATAGAAAGAATCGATTCTAAAAAAATTTTGACTACCATAAATGGTCAACAAATATTATTTAAGTTTATAACTCCACCTCAAGTGAAACTGATAAATCAAATAAAAGAAAATTTGATTTATAAAGAAAATCAATTAAAATTTTCATCATCTTCTAACATATTAAAAAGTGATGTTTATTTTGCAAGAAAAGTCCAAGAAGTTACAGAAATGAGTCATAACCCAAATTCATTCTCTTTGGATCTTATTGCCAAATCACCTGAACTTCTTGACTGTTTTTGTGATTATGCATGAGAAGATATTTATAGTTTTTCCTCCACATGGAATACTAATAATTGCAAAGTTTCATTTTGGTGTCTCTATTGTAATGTTATGGAAGATCAATTAATTGATCACATACCTATCTTTTTCTTAAGAATTGCAAGACGGCAAAAAGAATTTTTAAAAGCAGGTTTAAAGTTCTATATTATCCCTGAAATTAATGACTGACATTATGATTGACACTATAAACAGTGGCTGGAGACTATAGTCCTAGAAGAATTTTGCCAAGAAATGGTAAATAAACTTGGTGGTATAATTATTAGAACCCAAGTTTTTGTATATAAAATACATATTATTCTGATGACTATAAAAATGATTTTTATGTATATAGAAGTGCATATTACTTTAATCCATATAAGGATACTTATTATTTTAATGCATATAAAAATGCTTATTATCCTCTACTCTCTATAAAGTCATCATCACATAAAGGTGATATAGATAATAACCTTTCAAAACAACTTAAAGTTGTCACATCTTTGTCAAATAAAGTTGACAATAAAGATAAGTTGTCAAGAGATAAATCTCTCTCTGATATTCAAAGATCTTTAACTTTGTCTCCATATATGGAGCTTAATTTTTCATTTGTCTCTAAAATTATTGAAAGGATATATCCTTACGATGTTAATAAAACCAGAAAAATCAGGGAGATTATTGATTCCAGACAAATCAAGAAACATTTAATCCACTTTTGTAAAAATTGTCTGCTTGAGTTTAAAAGTAAAATCATAGCAGAATGTCTTAAAGACATTAATAAAGAAGAAGATAAATCTTCAACTGATAAAGCTTCATCTTCTACATATATTATTCCCTTTACCAATATAAATATTGGAACTAATTTAAATTCTATGAAAGTTCTTAAAGAACTAATTAAAAAAGAAAAACCTTAAATAAATCCTTAGCATCTTAAAGCAGTGGTTATGGAGGAATGCGGTTTTCAGATCATGTCTAATTTTGGCATGAGCAAAACAGAAAAGATGCATCTCGTTAACCCTCCTACAATTGCTATAAAAGGCAAAGCGAAAGATAAAGTTGAGGAAAAAAATAGGAAATCTCCTACTTCTATTAATTCTGATGACGACTTTATAGATTTCTAGGAATATACCCCTCTTAAAGGTGACATTGAAATTAACGAAGAATTGTTAAATGTTGATATGGAGATAAATCTCCATGATGACAGAGATAATGTACTGTCTACTTTATTTTATAGGAAATGATCAAATAAAATTGATTTCTCG